TCCAAGAAACTGTGAATTCTTTCCCCCCCCCCCCCTCCACCAGTTTGACCCACACGTCCGCATCCTTCAGCGGTCAAACTCAGACTGACGTCTCATCTCTTCCCCCCCTTCACACATCAGCAACTCCTTCAGATGAAAATAAATAAAACCTTTCAAACAAGTACAAATAGCTGAGGATCATAAAAACAAAATGGCGCACGCGCGAGCAGAAACGCAACTGACACAGATGGCTGCTCAACCGTGCATCCAGAAACTGAAGCCCCATCCACTTTGGTTGTTGAGTGGAAGTGCACCAACTGAACCAGAAGAGCAGCAGAAAGGACCAATCTGTCTTTATTTTGTTCTCTTCTTCCTTGTCTTCTCTTCTTCCTCATCCTTCTCCCCCCCCCCCCCTCCTTTCATCTTGAAGCATTGAGGTATGACACCACTGCTGCATGGCTCTGGATTAGCCAGAAAGTTGCCAGTGAAGGAGTAAGAGGAGTAGTCCTAAGTCTTGAAGAACACCTTGGGATAATTAATACTACCTAACTCTTTTCCCATGAATAATGTATACTGAATCCATAAATTTAAATGCTGGATTTATAAATATACATATAAATGCACACTTTGACCAAACAGCATTTGCATATTTTGAGTTCTACTCTGTGGCAATGCACAAAAATTGGCAAATCGTCAGACAAGACCATTAAAAACATTCAAAAGGTCTGCCAGGACCAGAATGGAAGCTTTATTGCACAGTGATGATGATGCAGTGAATATTATTGTGCAGTCAGTAAGACTTAACAGTGAGAAACATTGTACAGAAAATGTAAAAAAAAGAGCATTACTGTATTGTATACAGACTACAGAGAGTCAACCTCTGTGATAAAGAAAGGAAGGCTTGTGTATCTTCAGGTAGGTTTATAAATCAACCCCATCCTCCTACACCAGTGCATATAAAATTCACTGGGAAAAAGAGGACACTTCTTAGTCACAGACATGGTCACAAAAATTCCCTCCCAACAGGAGGGTGGGAAAGATGCACTTTCTCCAATTTTTTTATTCAAGATACCCACATTGTTGATACCAATCTTTATGGTTCAGTACCCAAGGCCCTTCAGAAGTTGCAGGCTGGTGAAAATAAATGCATTGCACCACAGAGTGAGATGTGCAAATTATGGTGATCCATTTCATGAATAATGATCCATTTCATCCTTTTTTTTTAGCATTAAATCTCAAAGCTGACTGGATTTGGGGAGAAAGAAACGATTTTGGTGGTGCACAGCCCAGGTACAAGAGATAGTTTATTAGTGTAATTCAGTACCTTTCTCCCACAGAGATTACCATTCAGTACCATCCATCAAAAAGAATCTATTCATCAAAGGCAATGCACTCATTTGAGAAATCAGGACATGGGAGTCATTCAACCTGCCCCAATTGACCTCTGCTAGGGTTTGGCTGCTCCTGGTACTGGTAATCAGATTTGACCTTTTCATGATTACACTGACACCCTTCAAGAAAAGCTGCTGATGTGGATCAGGAAGCCAACTAGGGCACAGCAAAATACAATCAGTGCAGCTGAGCCTTTTCCAAGCCAGTTCTGGTATTTTCTGTGATCTGGTAACAATATTTTCTCTCCTGGTTTTATGAATGAATTGTCTCCCATGCAGAACTTGTCTGCTTGGCTTAATTCTGACAACTGAGCAATTGACTGTACTTTCAGATTCCTGGGTGATTGGAACTCTTTTTTCAGTTGATGGATTTCTGAAAAAGTGATTCAAGAAAATTCAATACTATATAAGTCACAGGAAATTCATGAATGATTATTTTGGTATCTCCTGCTTTTCAAGATGTAGCCAAGGAAGTTAAAATGTACATTCAATGACTTCATGCTGCTGTGCAATTGTTAGCGCAGTTCAGATATTAAAAGATCTTCCATTCAACAAAAAATGAATTTTCATCTCAAGAATCAATATATAGGAACCTACAGGATATTCCAACCATTTGTGGATTGATTATCATCATGAAATACTGCATTATAAAAAATATTGCTGGAAATCTAAATCTTCATTTTTTAAATAGAAACTATCTCCAACTGCTTTTGAATGATGAAATTTATTTGTATTTCCAGGCTTCTGATTGATATGTCAAATGGCCATACATTTTCCATAAAATTCCAACATAAAAATGTATGCTGCATTTGCAAGTGGATAGTTTAAACATAAAGTATTACCTTTCAAAGTTTTGAGATTGGAGAGATTGAGATTGATTCAAAAAGCATTTTTCAAATGATTCAAACTTTTTTGCATAGGTGCAGCTGTATTTATGGGCAGTTTTCTCACAAGTTGCCAAAATAACCATGTTCTATTTGAGAAATACTGAAAATATATCAAAATATTGGCAAAAGCTAATAAATTCAACATTCATTTGAGTCCAGGAGTACTGTACACTTTATGCATGCATACATACATTTTAAAATGAAATACAGAAATGCTTTTTGGAGGCTGATGCAAAATATTTGATTCCAGAACTCAACAACAGCATAAATTTTCACTTCACATAAATTCAACTATCCCTCCATCAGACTGAGGGAAAAAATGGCCCATTTGAATGAAATAACATTAAGATGAACAGCAAGAATCTGCAGCATCACACATATCAGGTTAGATTATTCAATACAAACCATTCCCTTTCACACCATTTGGAGGTGATGAAACCCTTGGAGAAGTCAAGGTGCTCCTCACAACATAGATGTCTTTACCTTTAGAGGCATTCCAAGATGGGGCAAGATCTGCAAGCAAGGGGAACCAAATTCAAGTAAAGCAGAAATAATGCCAACAAAATCCCCTTACTGATTTCTTTATTTTTTAGGGATTCCACAGCAGATGATGAAGACCAGTCAAAATCCTCAGAATAGATTCCAAAGATCTTTTGCTTTGCCCAGTGATTCTCATGGGCACTGCTTCCAGTATAGTCATCAATGGATTGTGTTCCTTGGGAACTACTTGTGTAAATGACAGTGGAAGAAGTTCCCAGAGTCCTGGACCTTCTGTATAGCATCTGAGTGCTTGATGGCAGTGACACCTGTGGTTCTGGCTGGGGGAAAAAGTTGTCTGTCATATCTTCCTCTCCAACAGGTGGAACCTCCCTCAGCTGCAACAAGCTGCTTGACCATGATTTACAATGTGGAAACTTCTGAAGACCTCTTTGCTTTTCAGCAGCAATGCTCTTGCATCCACTCAGCAAGCTTTGTTTCTGAGGCTCAGCAAAAGTTTCTGAGCCACACAGGACCATTGCTACATCATGTTTGGTCTTCAGTCCAGGTTCTAATCCTTGGTGTAGTTTAACCAGGACACAGATAGCTTTCAGGGATGGAAATTTGTTTAGAAAGAAGAGAATGTGTAAAAAGAACCTTTAGGAGTCTCTCAGGGCATGACCATGCCACTGGTGCATAATTTCACACTGAATCAAGCTGGAACATGGGGAACCAAGCTTTTTAGTTCTCATACAAACTTCTCACAGTGAACATGGACATTCCAGTGATTTTCACTTCTTTCTTGTTGATCCTGTCAGTGCAAACTTCAGGTGAGAATTTAAACTCAAAAATTACTACATGCCCAAGAAACTAGGGTAATGCATTCCACTGTGTAAGATACACTGCATAGTCTGAACAAATAATCTACAGTGGAAATACTTTTTGAGTCCTCATGAAATATTTGCACACGCATTTAATCTTCCTGCTTATATTCTGGAATGAAAGGCACATGTAGTTCAGACAGTTGAATGTACCATATTTGATTCAAACTAACAAAACCAAGCAGCCTTTTAATGAGAACTAACAACTTATACATCACAATTAAATATTTTGTACAATGCATCACAATTAAATATTTTGTACAATGAATTATCCTCTCATTACAGTGTTTCATTGTATGGCATTTTTCAAGATTTCAGGTTCTGATCAGTAAAAGTGAATTGTGGGATAGAATTTGACTCCTACTATCAAATAAATGATAACCCTGCTCCCCTTTTCCAAGTGAAAACAAGAGGACCATGACACTAAATCAACTTTGGAAACTAGTTATGTGACTAGTAGCCAGCATCAAGAAAGAGAATGCTGGTTTATAACAAAATATTATCAATCCTTTTGTTATTCCATTCAATATGAACAATGTGGTATTAATAATTTCTTCTAATTTATTACAAGAATTCCTAAATATCTCAGAAGAGGCAAGGGAGCACATGCATAAAAAGTGTATCCAAACCTTTGCAAAGTGCAACAGGACCAGAAGAACTGAAGTGCTAAATGCAGACTTGATGAGAGACCTTGAAGAGGACCTTGAATTGTTCCTCACAAACAAAGGATTAACACTGGCACCTCAGGAAACATCAGAAGTGAAAAGCAAAAATGTAAAAAGGTACCCTCTACCTTGGACGCCAGAAGCAAAACAGACTGTTGAACAAAGAGTCATTCACTCAATGCTCAGTAAAAAGACATCATCATTGGCAAATAACCCTGTCAGCAGAGAGACCATTGAAGCATCAACAACAACATCAAAACCCAATCAAGTTCCTGAGCAACAAGGAATTTTTCTTGACATCCTTAGAATGTCTTCAAAGGAGCTGATGACTGTTGGCAACTTCTTCCACAACCTCAGTGTTGTGAGATCCTCTTCAAAACCAGATTGCATCCCTGTCTTTGAAGACAGTCCACAAGGCATGTACAATGGTGTTTCTTCCTTGGTCCAAGGTCTGATCAAGACAATTGATGCCCTTTTGGAGTGCAACAGGATCAAGAAAGAAATGCTGTACTCTGCCATGATGTCAGAGCATCACTCCTGGAACAAAGCTAACTTCCCTCAAAACAATCAAAATGTGTACAATAATCCATTTTACCAAAACAATGCCATGAAGCTCCCCTGAAATTCCTGTGTGGGAAATGGCATGTGCAAATGCTGTCTTTGTGTCTGATTTTGAAGATTCCAACAACTGTATTACATTGGGTAACAGAAAGAATGCAATCTCATCTGAATAATAATTTTTTGATTCCTTTCCTCATTAGCACAAATTAAGCTCTGGAATGCCAATAGAACACACACATACACACTAGTGCTGATATAAAAATGGACTCAAAACAAACATAAATACATAATAAAACCTCAAAAAGTAACAATGCTGAGTAACTAGACTCCATGTCTCACTGGGGACATCACAGTGGTAAGTTCACCTTGCTCAAACAGCACCTATGAAATGAAAGAAGTAACCAAAAGATAGTGATGTTCATACTCCTGAAGAAACCAAGGTCTCACCTGCCAAAATGACAGCCAATGAAAGAGTTAATAGGTTCATGCAGAAAATAGACTCTCCATGATTGAAAGCAGGATTGAAGGGGCTCCCATGCTGCACACCAGCAAATTCAGACATACCACCATTGTCACCTGAATAATAAGGAGGCAAGATAATTAGCATTTGATCTAAACAGAGTCAATCACTAAATGCAGTATACCTCTCAAGGTCTTTGGATCCTGAACTTCATTGTCTTCATTGTAAGGCTCTGGTACAGACACATCAATGTTCCTGGGATCCCCTTCATCAAAGGTACCATCTGGCCTTAGACCACTGTTGGGGTACAATGGGTTGTACCTCTGGTTGTTGTCAGTGCCTGTAGGTTGTCTGCCTCTGTCTCCAGAATATGGTCTATCTGATGACCAACCAGTAGTGGAGCTTGTGAATGGGTTTCTGTCTGTGGTGCTGAAGGGGCCTTGTTGGGGTCTCTGTCTGTCATTGTTGAAGCCTGCTTGAGGGTTGAATCTGTCACCAGGAAAGCTACTTGGTCTGTCAGTGTTGAATCTGTCAGGTTGTTGGTTGTTGAACCTGTCAGGTTGTTGGTTGTTGAATCTGTCAGGTTGTTGGTTGTTGAATCTGTCAGGTTGTTGGTTGTTGAATCTGTCAGGTTGTTGGTTGTTGAACCTGTCAGGTTGTTGGTTGTTGAACCTGTCAGGCTGCTGGTTGTTGAATCTGTCAGGCTGTTGGTTATTAAATCTGTCAGGCTGTTGGTCACTAAATCTGTCAGGCTGTTGGTTGTTGAACCTATCAGATGGTTGCTGATTGAACCTGTCACCTCCCAGGTTACCAGGGGTCTGATTTCCAAACACATCCTGACCAAAAGGCCTGCCTAGGGTTCTATTGAATCCAAAATCTCCTTGCTGTCCATTCAATCCACTCTGACTCACAACCGTCTGTCTCACAGGAAGATCACTAGCATTTTGAACACCTAGCTGAGTCACAGGAGTCACTGGAAACCCAGGTCTGCTACTGGTCTCCAAAAAGAAAGATGAAGGCAGTGGAGGAGGCTGGGGTTTAGCAATTGACATCCATGCCAGGGAAAAGAACACAACAATTCCTGAAACAGCCCTCATCTCTCAAATACACCTGCCAAAAACATTATCATGAGGAAGACTGCATGGTTCACAACATTACAGCAATAAAACACTGAAACATTTACAGAGCACATACTGTGTCCAGATTAAAGGCACTCATAAAGCACCCAGTAAAAAAACCCATGAAAAAAACCTCTGAGAGCAAAAACATTACAATTACCAACATGCATTAGCAGTTAAACTATTTTCACCAAGTGTATAAACACAAAGCATTACTAAATCTCAAAACAATGATGCAGTATTCCAATGACCAGCCATTTATTTTCAAAATTCAACTTACAAATCTTTCAAAATTTCTCCCAGTTTTTCAGTTATGATTTTGAAGGTGGATTCTGAAGCAAGCATTTCACAGACAACTTTTCTGCATACAGTGGAATGCTGATTTTGACATGAGGAAGGCATAAACATTGCAGTTTCACTTCATTGTCAACTTTTATGTTGAATGTTTTTCCACAGGGAGAACTTTTGTAAAACAGTGTTATCTTTAAAGGATTGTGAATTGGCTGCTTGCTAATCCTACACAGGACAGTTCCCATTTGTAAGAATAAAACCACATGTCCCAATCCTCTTCCCAACAGCAAAGCTTTACAGCTTATACATGAGAAAATACACTAATTGGGAAGTTGGAATGGGGGATACATTACAAGTGTCCCACATAACATGAGATTCTACTTTGTTGCTGCAAGTTCACAGTAGCACACCCTATCATTCATTCCAGGCTACCCCTCTCAAAATAACAACCTATGTGCTGAGTGTTTTTTTTTCATAGGTACCCTTCATAAATATAAAAATCAGTTATTTCAAAATGATTTGAATTGGATGCCTCTTCATCATACACAGGACAGTTCCAAAGAATAAAACCACATACAGTATTCCAACCCTCTTCCCACATGGTTCCACACCAAAGCTTACAATGATACATGAGAAAACAAAATATAGAGATAATTACACATACTTTTCCATGTGTTTTGCATGATACAGTTTGAGCCTCTGATTATTATTCTTTTTAAATAAAAAGTCCACAGCAGCACTCATTCCCAGGCTAAACCTCTCAAAATCCACAACAACCAAATACAAGGCAAAAGCCATCCACTCAAAAGCATCAACCCAACACTTCTGGCTCGCCGGACACAACTGACACCGGCCGCTCTTCATCCACACAAAGCTCAGCTCCCATCAACAGCTGACTGTATACAAAGGTTGCCATGCCGGTCACTCACCCTCGCCCGGCATCCCCACAAAAAATAAAATAAAACTGCTACAAACGCACGCACGCAAAAATCATCTGCGCACCACATACAACAATACAGTACCACAAATCCGGCAAACTATACTCATGAAGAAGAAACACACTGAAAATCTCACTTGACGCCAAAGAATTCGTTCCGGTCTGGGCGAAAGCGAACCACGCACGGACCAAAAACGTCTCTGGTCACCTGACTTTTCATGTGAGAACTGACGTGCCTTCCTTCCTTCAATCGCGCTGCTGCGTGAGATGGGGAGGGGGGGAGGGGGGAGGACAACGAAAGAAAGATCTTCCTTTTCGGTCCTCTTGCAGTACAGTACAGAATTGTACAGTATCCTGACGGAGGGCTCAAAAAGGAATTCGGGAGGGATGACCAGAGTAGGTCTGTTGGAATGGATGTTCACCTGCTGCCGTGGGGGAGGGTTGGGTGGTGGGATGTGAGACGTGACTGGCATCCAGTGCCAGGCTGGCTGGGGTGAGGCACGCCTAGCACAAGCCAGGAGAAAACCCTGGGTATGTCCTGATTCTGCGCGACTTCACCAACTTTTCAAGCAAATCCCAACATAAATACTGTAGTACATTTTTGAAAAAGTTTTTGTACTGTATTCCAGTTGAAACTCTCCAAGTAACAGGAGGAGAGGGACCACAAAAAAAATTAAGCTTAAGGAGGTTTTGAATAATTGAGGTTTGAGTAACTAAACCAAGCATTTCTTGTGGTAGAAAAATGGAAGAATGGCAAAAAATTGTAAATGTGGATATTCTGAGCATTAAATTACATCTTGAATGAGTTGACACAATAATGATGACCTTGGAGGTAGGGAATACATTTGCCCAATTTAGTCTTTCCTTTCCTCTGAAACCACCTCAAATTCTGTTTTTTATTGTTTCTCTCTTTCCTGTGTCAAGAAAAAATAGCCAAAAGGCCTTCAAATATTCAAGTTTGGGAGGTTTGAAAAGAAAAACCTTGCAGTTAGAAAGGTTTTTAATACTGTTCATTGTTCCTCAGGGAATTCAACAGGGACTTCAACTCCAAGTCACAGGAGGAGAGGGACCACAAAAAATTAAGCTTATAAGGAGGTTTTGAATAATTGAGGTTTGAGTAAGTTAACCAAGCATTTTTTTTGTACTAGAAAAATGGAATAATGGCAAAAAATTGTAAATGTTGATATTCTGAGCATCAAATTGCATCTTGAATGAGTTGACACAATGCTGAACTTGGAGGCAGGGAATACATTTGCCCAATTTAGTCTTTCCTTTCCTCTCAAACCACCTTAAATTCTGTTTTGTATTGCTTCTCTCTTTCCTGTGTCAAGAAAAAATGGCCAAAAGGCCTTCAAATATTCAAGTTTGGGAGGTTTGAAAAGAAAAACCTTGAAGTTAGAAAGGTTTTTAAAACTATACATTGTTCCTAGGGGAATTCCACTTGGGACTTGAAAAAATAATTAACTTGAGAGGTTTGAGTTATCAATAAGGTTTAACTGTAAATGAAACATTACTTATATAATATATTTCATTTTATTTTTTGAACTGGCAGTGGGTCCCAGCATAACAAATAACTCGGATGCAAAATAAATGTATATGTGCTGTGAGGAAACCATACATGGAAAATTTAGGGGTTTTTCAAAATATATAAGGCTGAAACTTGAATAATAACTAAACAACAATCAGCAGAATGGAACTCTTGCTAAACTGTGGCATACAGTGCAGTGGGTGCCAGCATAACAAATGACTCAGATTTTCAAAATACATATGTACTGTGAACAAACCATAAATGGAAAATATATGGTTTGTCCCAATTCTATGTGGTTTAGATTGGACTACAGTAATCCTTCATTAGTACTCAGCAGAATGAAACCTTGTCCAACTGTTGAATGCAGTACAGTGGGTCTCTGCATAGTAAATGACTCAGATTTTAATTAGATATTCTGCACTGAACAAAGCTTACATGGAAAATCTAGGGTTTTCCCCAAATATATATATATATATAGCTGAATTACCATTAAACAGCAATCAGCAGAATGCAATCATGTTANTTTCTGCATACAGTGGAATGCTGATTTTGACATGAGGAAGGCATAAACATTGCAGTTTCACTTCATTGTCAACTTTTATGTTGAATGTTTTTCCACAGGGAGAACTTTTGTAAAACAGTGTTATCTTCAAAGGATTGCCAATTGGCTGTTTGCCAACCCTACACAGGACAGTTCCCATTTGTAAGAATAAAACCACATGTTCCAATCCTCTTCCCAACAGCTAAGCTTTACAGCTTATGTACATATGAGAAAATACACTAATTGGGAAGTTAAAATGGGGGAAACATTACAAGTGTCCCACATGACCTGAGATTTTACTTTGTTACTGCAAGTTCACAGCAGCACACCATCATTCATCCCAGGCTACCCCTCTCAAAACAACAACCTATGTGCTGAGTGTTTTTTTCTTCATAGGTATCCTTCATAAATATAAAAATCAGTTATTTCAAAATGATTTGAATTGGCTGCCTCTTCATCATACACAGGACAGTTCCAAAGAATAAAACCACAGACAGTATTCCAACCCTCTTCCCACATGGTTCCACACCAAACCTCACAATGATACATGAGAAAACAATATATAGAGATTACAAGCACTTTTCCATGTGTTTTGCATGATACAGTTAGAGCATCTGATTTTTTGTTGTTGCAATAATAAGTCCACAGCAGCACTCATTCCCAGGCTAAACCTCTCAAAATCCACAACAACCAAATACAAGGCAAAAGCCATCCACTCAAAAGCATCAACCCAACACTTCTGGCTCGCCGGACACAACTGACACCGGCCGCTCTTCATCCACACAAAGCTCAGCTCCCATCAACAGCTGACTGTATACAAAGGTTGCCATGCCGGTCACTCACCCTCGCCCGGCATCCCCACAAAAAATAAAATAAACCTGCTACAAACGCACGCACGCAAAAATCATATGCGCACCACATGAAACAATACAGTACCACAAATTTGGCAAACTATACTCATGAAGAAGAAACACACTGAAAATCTCACTTGACGCCAAAGAATTCGTTCCGGTCTGGGCGAAAGCGAACCACGAACGGACCAAAAACGTCTCTGGTCACCTGACTTTTTATGTGAGAACTGACGTGCCTTCTTTCCTTCAATCGCGCTGCTGCGTGAGATGGGGAGGGGGAGGACAACGAAAGAAAGATCTTCCTTTTCGGTCCTCTTGCAGCAAAGTACAGTATTGTACAGTATCCTGACGGAGGGCTCAAAAAGGAATTCGGGAGGGATGACCAGAGAGTAGGTCTGTTGGAATGGATGTTCACCTGCTGCCGTGGGGAGGGTTGGGTGGTGGGATGTGATGTGACTGGGATCCAGTGCGAGGCTGGCTGGGGTGAGGCACGCCTAGCACAAGCCAGGAGAAAACCCTGGGTATGTCCTGATTCTGCGCGGCTTTACCAACTTTTCAAGCAAATCCCAACATAAATACTGTAGTACATTTTTGAAAAAGTTTTTGTACTGTATTCCAGTTGAAACTCTCCAAGTAACAGGAGGAGAGGGACCACAAAAAAAATTAAGCTTAAGGAGGTTTTGAATAATTGAGGTTTGAGTAATTAAACCAAGCATTTTTTGTACTAGAAAAATTCAAGAATGGTGAAAATTTGTAAATGTTGATATTCTGAGCATTAAATTACATCTTGAATGAGTTGACACAATAATGATGACCTTGGAGGCAGGGAATACATTTACCCAATTTAGTCTTTCCTTCCCTCTCAAACAACCTCAACTTCTGTTGTTTATTGCTTCTCTCTTTCCTGTATCAAGAAAAAAATAGCCAAAAGGCCTTCAAATATTCAAGTTTGAGAGGTTTGAAAAGAAAAACCTTGAAGTTAGAAAGGTTTTTAATGCTGTAAATTGTTCCCAGGGGAATTCCACTTGGGACTTGAAAAAATAATTGACTTGAGATGTTTGAGTTATCAATAAGGTTTAACTGTAAATAAAACATTACTTAGATAATATATTTCATTTTATTTTTTGAACTGGCAGTGGGTCCCAGCATAACAAATGACTCAGATGCGAAATAAATGTATATGTGCTGTGAGGAAACCATACATGGAAAATTTAGGGGTTTTTCAAAATATATAAGGCTGAAACTTGAATAATAACTAAACAACAATCAGCAGAATGGAACTCTTGCTAAACTGTGGCATACAGTGCAGTGGGTGCCAGCATAACAAATGACTCAGATTTTCAAAATACATATGTACTGTGAACAAACCATAAATGGAAAATATATGGTTTGTCCCAATTCTATGTGGTTTAGATTGGACTACAGTAATCCTTCATTAGTACTCAGCAGAATGAAACCTTGTCCAACTGTTGAATGCAGTACAGTGGGTCTCTGCATAGTAAATGACTCAGATTTTAATTAGATATTCTGCACTGAACAAAGCTTACATGGAAAATCTAGGGTTTTCCCCAAATATATATATATATATAGCTGAATTACCATTAAACAGCAATCAGCAGAATGCAATCATGTTAAACTCTGGCTTACAGTGCAGTGGGTCAATGCACAACAAATGGAGCAGATTTAAAAAGTAAAGGCATAGAACAGCCCTTTCAAGGAAACTGCCTGTATGCCCCTCATCTCTCTGGACAACCTATAATGTATACCATTCATCTCTGCTGTGTGAGGAGCGCCTCAAATACCTTCCAAATCCAGTGGACAGTACCAAAGTATTGGCACTTCTGTCTGCAACTCAAGACATGGCAAAAAGTATCTCTCAGGAATGAAAAAACTCATTTCATAAATTTAAACTCAATTCTATCCCTTCAATTCAAGGGAACACTGTTTGATGGCAATCCAATTCCAAAAAAAAAAGAGCTTCATATAGTAATTTAATCCCAGCTGGTAATGCAGAGTTTGGAGAAAAACTGTTCAGAATAAATTACTGTACTTTTTGAGCAATTTTATAAAACTTTAGTGAAGCATGCATACAAAATATTAAAATGCACACAATAAAGCCAAAATTTTCCCATAAAGTAAAATGTTTCCTGTAACACTTGATTTTGAAAAACCTGGACTGAAATGAAGAAACTTTTGTACTGCCCCACAAGGTACATACTTCCGTGGCTTCTGTTCCATGAGATCTCTGCAACCCAGACAGGCAAAAAATTATAGGAGGAAATGAAAAAATAAAATGAATAACAAGTTTATTCTGCAGCAGGGTCTAGACATTTTTTTATATTCCTATTTTTCCATGTTCACAGGATTCACAGCTCCCATCATTCCCAAGTCTCTCCCCATTTTTCTTTCTTATCAAAACCAAATTGTAGCTACAGTACCTACCTTCATCAGGTTTCTTTCTTTCTTCCTCTCTTTTTTGTGTACATCCTTTCTGCTTGTGAGTGTTTTTTGGTACTGAAAGTTGCTGGTTGCATGTATGTATGTGTGTATGTGTGTTGATGATGGGGGAGGTGGATACAGTACCAAATATTCTGGACCAAGACATGGGGATGAGGTATGCAGTATCTTTCCTACTGTCTGCTGCTGTGTCTTGTGTGGCAGTGTTGCAGTACAGGGCCAGTCTCAGGGCAAGACTGAATTGCTCCTCAAGGGATCTGCTGAAGATCACATCTGAGGCACTGTAATATTATTTTTTTTAATAAGTAAAATTAATTTGCAGGGGCAATCAGTGATAATTTACTTGATCACATACCAATGGGAACTGCATTGCCTGTGAATTGTATCAATTCAACAATGTACAGGTTTATCAACTTTGCTCTTGTTTTGAGTCAGGGAAATTTGTAAGTCAATTGTTAGCTAAGAGCTACTCTGGCCTTTTCAAAATTAACTGTTATTTACACTGTGTATGACTTACCAACAGGAAAGTGTATAATATCTTGTGTACAACATTTAGATAATAACTTCCTCAAGTTTTGTTTTTTGCCTGTAGCAACAGGTGTTCCAAAGTTTAGCACATCTTTCATATCATGAAAAGTTCCTCAAATATATGACATGATAAGATCAAAGCTAGCTTTTTCATTTAGGAAGGTTGAAACTGCATTGCTCCTAAGGTCATTGCCAGGGATTTATTCAAAATGTTGATGAGGAAAGTTTTTTTTACTTGAAGAAGTTTGACTTAGTACAGTCAAAATGCATCATGAGTACAGTATTTACATACATTGCAATTCATTGATAAGCAAATTAGATACTTGTTTCCTATGTATGTTTGTCATTTTATTTTGCAAAAGACAAATTTACATGATCAGCTCACATTTTTTTTTAGATTTTTAGGAGGTAACTCCAGCATCAATGTATTTTTTACACTTTTATCATTAAAGGAACTACATGCTTCTGACACTGTAAGTATTCAATATACAATAATTCTCTTACATCACCAGCAGTGGGTGCAAATTTTCAGGAGTACACTGAAAGAAACCAGTCAGTTGTTGAACAAAAGGGTGTCACTGGGAATCCCAGGTGATGATGGTGATGTGGAAATAGATGCTGTGAAGCAAGCCATAGCTGGTGAAATCAGGAGGCAAGATTTCCTATTTTCTGAGACCCCATTGTTTGTGGGACTTTCCCCCTCATGATATAAGGATGTCCTGTTGACTTGGTTGGAATTGAATGGTGACATGAGTCAGGGGTATTTTGTATTATCCAATCCTTGTTGACTTTGAAGTGGGTTCATGTGGTGAGGAAGGAGTGAATTTAAATGACTTTCTAGACAGGGGAGTGAGTTGGGCATCCAGGAGGCATTTTTTCAGCATTGATTTGGCCAATCATCAATGCAATACCTTCACAATTCTTAATAACCTGTTGCCAATCTTGAGAGCTTGAGAAGATCACATCACAAGCTTCACTTTGACATAATTCTGAAAAATAAAGTCATCCTCTTTCTGATCCATGTGATTTTCTTTTAAAGAATTATTGCACATAGTCTGTCTTTCTATCCAGTGGAATGAAGTTCAAAGAGGACTTACTGAAAGCCTCAGAAGAGCTCCTGGATCTAGAATCAAACACAATTCATGAGCAAGTCAGCAAAAGAACTAAGCTCCTGGAGGAAAAATACCAGCTGGATCTTGAAATACAAACTCTGAGGAGAAAAGTATTGAACTGGCCTCATTCATGCATTTTCAAGAATATCAAAACTATACATTTTTTTTTAGTTGATTCAATACAAGTCAGTAAAAGAGGAGCACAGTCCCACAGCTCAAGAAGATTCCACTTCATTTCTCTCTGAAAGAATAAACTCTGACACTGGACTGTTGAATGGAACCATTTGGGCACTTTTGTCAGGAGTGACACCTGGTGCATGGTCTTCAGTCACTGCAAATCATCAGTTAAAGTCCCCTCATTCANAGCTCAAGAAGATTCCACTTCATTTCTCTCTGAAAGAATAAACTCTGACACTGGACTGTTGAATGGAACCATTTGGGCACTTTTGTCAGGAGTGACACCTGGTGCATGGTCTTCAGTCACTGCAAATAATCAATTAAATTCCCCTCATTCAGATGATAATGATGAACATGCAACTCTTGCTCATAGATTTTTCAACCTTGCTGAAAAGGTATGATGTGGAACAGTTAAAAATTCAAAAATAGTTGCCAAAATATGGAAATGCTTGCAGATTAAAACACTGCTGCCTGAGCGAGTTCACAGAAATTCACAATTTTCTCTGAAGGCTGCATCTCCCAGTGAGTTCAACTTATCATGTTTCCATGTTCAAAATAAACAAATTTGGAACTACCTCTCAGGTAAGGATTTGGAAGAAATCAAAGCATCAAACACATACCGCAAAATAACCCCAGCCTCCACCAAACTGTGGGAAACTTGGAAGCAGAAAGTGCTTTCTGATCTGAAACTTACCCAGATGTCACTCCCAACTTGCAGTTTGGAAACTAGGATGGATCTAGAATCAGGAACTAACCTCAGCTGTTCCTTTTGTCAAAAAGAAGGTCTGGCTGATAATATTGAGCTATTGTTACATTATTATTTCAATTATGGTCAACAGGTAATGAATATTGGAAAACATTCTGTTGTTCATAAAACAGTCAGTTCTTTTCAAAGATTATTTTTGAAGGATAAAACTTTGAAAAATATCAGATGTAAAGTCAGCTGAAGTATCAAAATCAAGTAAATAATGAGAAATGTCAATTTGAATGGCTGGTTGCTTGAGTGTTCAATGCTGAAGTACACAATGTAAATAAATTATTTTTACACATAACAGCATTAATTTTCCTTAAAAAAATCTCTTTCCAGTTTCTACCTCAAGATTTGGCTTGGAGTGGGATTACAAAACAACTGACAAGAGGCTGCAAAGGTTATCAAGGGCCTTTTCTGAGCTAGTCCTTGCTGCTGAGTCAAAATTCAAGCCTCACATTTCACCATCTGAACCCAATCACTTCCAAAGGCCCCCCACATCTGAATGTAAGTAAATCCTATGCTAATCTTGAAATTTTAAATGAAAAAGAACATAAGCTTGAAAATATGCCACTCAATGCATTGAATACATCCCATTGGATCAGAATTCAACAATTAAAAAGTAATGAAATCTCAGATTGGTTTTCACAAGAATTGTGCACTGAATTTGAAAAATGGTCATAAATATTTTGTTTTTTATAGAACTCTTACAAACACAGTTAAACAAGGTAATTAAATCCAAACAATTTCTGCTGAGGATTTAAGAATGCAATATCTTACACTGTACTGGTAGTGATTGAGAAAAGAAATATACTTTATACAAACCTCATATGACTAAATCTGGTTTCCCAGTTTTCTCTACATCAAGCCAAAACATGACAGCAATACTGCAGCACTTGAGACCAAGAAGAGCATCCATCAAAGTGCAAGTGATGCCAGCCAAAATCTTGGCAGCACTGGATCAGGGCAACCAGTTCAATGTCTACCATGGTGACAGAGTAAGCATTGAGAAGATGGATTACCTGGAGCCTTGTTCAGAAAGCAGCCCTGACCAGACCTCCTACAGTGGTTCAGAAACTACTGAAATATCATTCTCCTGGGAAAGAGCTGATGAGACTCATACCCAGACAACAAGTACAGTACAGTGAACTTCCATTACCTAACATTCATGAAGCCTCGAGGAAAATTATGATCTTTTATATGTGCCAAAATAAAATTTACACAAGTCTAAAACACTGACTATTGCTTGACTTTCTGGAAGTTGAGCATTTAAAGTATTCAGGTCAATGCTTCTCCTGTATAATTTACACCACATTTGTTTCTTTGTGTACTGTGAATCATTATCAGCTTTTAATCAACAAAATCTTACTCAGATGTAAATCTTTCAAATTTTTCATGGTTTGTGAATTTCATGATTTAAATTCTTAAAGAAAGAATGTTGACAGCATTTTAATTTTTTTGTCAGCAAAGTAATTTCCTTTGTTTGGTTTTTGTTCATTCAGCTAATACAGAGACAACTGAAAGTTTGCTGACAACAAATGAGTCTCAGGTGGGAATGGAAGATAACCTGGTGTCAGATTCAGCTGTTGGAACATCCATAAGTGGGAATCCAGAAGTCACAGAATCTCTGAAATCACATACCTTAAGAAGGGTATGGTCTAAAACATAATCTAATGCACTAATTCAAATGATTTCAATTAATCAGATTCCATTAAAAGGGGAGGATACCTGCTGATGAAGCCAGCACATCAAGCAATGAAATCCTCTCAAGTAATCCATCTGCAAGGTCTTCAACCTCAGTTTCTGGACAAGTGACAAAGTCTTGGCAAACTTTGCATCACAGAACCAAGGCCCTGTCACTCATGCTGGATAACTCTTTGAGCATAAACTATTTGGCCTCCACCAAGTCAAATGTACTCCTGGAAAACCTCAACTTCCAACTGGCAACTGGGACCATTCCACTCAATGCACAACCCTTGGAACTCAAGGTTTCTTTTCATGATACAACAGTGGTACAGCAACTCAAACTAAGATATTCAATTGGCTACAATTTCATGTAACAAATAAAAAAGGTACTTTCCTGTTATCTCAGTACCCATTTTTGGTACTTTTCTGTTATCTCTGTACCCATTTTTTGGTACTTTCCTGTTATCTCTGTACCTACTTTCTTGTTATCTCTGTACCTTTCCTCTGACCAATTTAACCTGACCTAACCTAACTTTACCTAACCGCCTCCCAAAATCAGTTCCTGCTTTCTTTGGGTTTAATTATGTAACTTTTGTTCTTGTGTATTCTGGTTGCTTTGAAGCAACGTGGCATGACCGTGAGCGACCTCTAGTCGTCTCACGGTGCGAAATTATTTACTCAGGGCGACACCCAGTCGACCCACGACAAGGTGCACGGAAAGTAGGTACTGAGATATAACAGGAAAGTACCAAAAAAAATTGTAATGGCAGTCTGATGTCACATGCAACTTTTTGAAGCTTGACTGATGACCTTTTGTTTCAAGTGCACATTCACTGTTGAAAGTTTTCATCATGCAGGGCATTCACATGTTAAGGTAAAAATGTGTGCATGTTTCCCTCATGCATGATGCTTTCCACCAGAATGACTTGGAAGCTATACTGAGAGGACTGGGAACTGAAAAGAAAATGTTGTGTGAAGTCAGAACAAAAGTGGACCAACTGCTGCTGAAAATAGAGACCATGTGCATCAAGTTTATTGGGCCAATCTCCAGATGTCCCTTGAAACTAGCCTTTGATGATGTACTTGCTTTTGGAGCAGCTTCCTCTTTGGCAAGAGGCTTTCTTTCTGTGGATTCTCAATGAAACCCTCATGTTTGCAGAGAAGAAAAAAATCCATACATCAATCAATACATGAATACACCAACATTTTTGTTACTTCTCACAGTGGACAAAGGAAATCAATAAGTTACAGGCTCCTGTTGATGGTGACAGCTGGAGTCAAAAAGTCATCACTCTCCTCATCAGACATCTGGTGATTTACCAAGAACTTGTTTGACTCATTCCTCAGATCCTCTGACAATCTCTGTGAAATGGATCAAGCATATCAATAACAGAAAGCTCCTAATTTGGAATATGTGAAACTTGCCTCCAGTCTACACAGTCTCCTGTGCTTTTTGTATGACACAACAGTAGCATAAACTGTGACAGCCAGACAAACCATACAAGCACATGCTGCAATCATCAATGCAGTGTTTGAGTACAGGAACTTCTGCTGTAGATACCAGAAATCAAAATTTGAATAAAAGGTGTCATTTTTTTGGGATGAAAAGGTCACTGACCAGCTTTTCATTCAGTGGTTTAAAAGTTTGGAAATACACTGAAGGACCTTCAGTGAGGTTCACCACCAAGGGGGCCATGGTGGAGGCATTGCCAGTGACATTGAACCCAGTTTTGGAGACAATCCTTGCTGTGAGAACACCTATGAAGCCCCTGAACCCACTTGGGTCCACCACAAAGACTATGACAATGGCCATGAAACAGACCAGAATCAGGACTAGGAAAGTCACACACAGGGGACCACATCTCCTTCTTTTTAACAACTTTCTCAACTTTTCATCCTCCTCATCAGTTGTTGACCTGACTGGCCTATAAACAATTTGCTTACTCTTCATGCTTCACTCTTGAGAGGACACCAGAAGGGAACTGAAGCATCATGATGGCACATGTGCTGGAAGGGAACACTTGTCCCTGGGTGTGTTTCATTATGCAGGTGTGTTCCACTGATGGGGAGCAGATGTTCCAGTGGATAAAACACTCTCCACCACCACATTTTCTCCATGGGATCAATCATTTGTCACCACTTCAGAATAAATAAAAAAAATTCTGAACCTTATTCAAGGGATAGAATATAATAAAATGATGCACCTTTTTTCAAGTTGCAACCAGCATCTTTTTTATTTACTGAACACACAATTTGCATTGCATTTTTATTTTTCTATTCATTTGAAATTGTGCACTCACATCCATGAATCAACCATGAAAGTGTCATTCAAATAACAGTATTGTGCTTAGAATTAGTTGAATGCTACTAAGAAGCATCAAGTTTTCAGTTCTAATTTTACTCACACTTGCAGGGATCAATACAAATTAAATCCTGGAATTATGATTTTTTTCTTATAGAAGTTTTGAAACCTTATGAAATAATTCAGGCATTTAAAATTTTTTTATGGAAAATAAAACAGCTCTCAAAGTTTTCAACAGCTACATTTTTTTCTCAGTAACACTCAGCACATGTCAAAATTAAATTTAGTACCTTGGGAAATTTCTACTTGTCTTTATTTCTAGCTTCAGGCCAATACATGTTTGCTTGGTAAGAAATATCTGTTCAATTTCAATGTGTTTGTCCTGGGAACATTTAAAAATGCAGGTTGAATTCTACTTCTTGTTTCATAAAAAAAGAAAATTTCAACATTGATTCATAGTTTTTTTACTTCACTGAACATGACAACTTGTACTGAGGAATTGGAATTTGTTTTTGAACAACTGTAATATTTTTTTATTGTTAAGCCAGAACTCTTGTATGCTATATGCTGGCAATTAAATCAAAGACTTGATTACCAGCACTTTTGCATATTGCACAATTTTGTGCCAAAATGCGGGACTCTGTCTTGGTTATATAAGTTCTTGGTGACTGTCCTTCAATGTTAAACAGTGAGTCAAATGTGTAGCATCATGAGGAGCATATTGATTGTAATTTCTCTTGCTCTGATTAGTGTTCAAATCACATCAGGGCATTTGAACTGTGAGTTTAGACATTCAGACATGGCTCCTAATTTGTTTTATAATATTGCTTTTATTCTTTGCAGTGGCAAAGACTGCAGAGTGTGGAGCACAGTACATCAGACTGGACCTTGATGGAGAAGAGGACTTTAATGAGACTATGCTGACTGAGCCTCCAAGTAGGATTGCTGGGGGAAGTGTGGTGTATCCAGGGGAGTTTCCATCAATAGTGAGTTTGCAGACCAGGACACCAACAGGACAGTACCAACACACTTGTGGAGGCACTGTGATTGATGAAAGACATGTCCTCACAGCTGCCCACTGTGTCATGGGAAGGTAAATTGGACTCCAACCTCAACTCTATGAAGGGTTGGTTCATGGGTTTTTGTCAGTCTCTTTATTCTATTTGTTGGTTGTTGAAAGTGTGGATATTGAACATACCTTTTAAAAATATGTATTCAATCTTTCCATAATCACTGCTCCTTGCTGTTTTTCTCACCTGTAGGTTCAAATGGAGAAACCAAAGAAAAGTTGCATGTACATTATCTCATTAACAAGATGCAAAAAGGTTCATCTGCAAAATTGTCTATGCCTTCCCAGACTGTCACAGAGCTGTAAAATATTTCAAATAGGCAACAAATCTTACTGAAAAAGGTTGTTTAGACCCATAGACTAGATTGAAAAAGAAGTCAAGCTGGTTGACTTCTTTTAAATTCATTTAGGTGGTTTGGAGGATAATGAATAATACAACAGAATACATTACTTTATAAAAGGGGAAAACTTGATTTATAGGGACTGAAGAGACTTCTAAACCAATCCCAGTATTTCCCAATACTGCACCATCTTTCAAGAGTCATTTTTGCATAATATAGTTTCCAATAACTTCCCCAGAATGGCAACAAGGATCAGCATAGTTTTCAAGGAACATGACCTTTCAAGACCAGAGGCAGCTGCTGAATACAGGGTGTTCCCCACCAAAATCATCACACATTCCAAATTTGACTTCAAGACATTTGCCCATGACATTGCCCTCCTGAGGTTTGATCCTCCTTTAAAGTTTCATCAGGACCCATTTGTGAGCCCTGTGTGCCTGCCTGGGCCAGCTACCAAGGGCATTGCCAGGCCAGCTTTCACCTTTGCCCACAAGCCTGCAACTGTTGCTGGTTGGGGTAAAATGTCTGAAGGTGTGTGTTATTCATTTTAAAAATATGAATTTTTTGGTCCAGTTTCATAGATTATATCCCCCCAAGCAGGGGACTAAGGAACTCTGAAAAAACTAATAATAAAAAGGTTGCATGACTTTAGGTGGAGAGCTGTCAACAGTGTTGCAGAAAGTAACAGTACCAGTGCTGACCAACCAGGCTTGCAAGACACTCTTGAATGGTCATGTTAATATCCAAGATGGCCACTTGTGTGCTGGTTGGTCCAGGGGTGGACAAAGTGCTTGTCAAGTAATCCTATTGTCCATGAATGTCATATTTTACAGATAATCACATGGTTTATTTGTTTTTGCAGGGAGATAGTGGAGGTCCTCTCTTCTACCATGATCAAGATGGCCACCTGTTGGTCATAGGGATTGTATCAGCTGGGGTGGGGTGTGCCAGAGCACTTTCTCCAGGTGTCTACACCAGGGTTTCTGAGTATCTTGACTGGATCAGGGACAATGTGGAAGCTGAGCAGTGATGAAATCTTGACCAATTACAGAGTATATTTTTCTACCCACTACATTCAACAGACATGTCTTACCATTTACACATCACAGAATGAAAAAAAAAAAAAACTTCAGCAATTCTTCCAGCAGTGTTCACTTCTTTTTTGAAAAGCTGCTCACTAATGCTCAATCTATATATAATCAAATCAAGCAGCTCACATCAGGAGGATCATAACCACTCAAGCCCAGTATACATCAAAACTCATCTGGGGATATCAAAAATATTCCTGCAAATTTTCTCATGATCATGACAATATGATAGCCAAAATACATTCAAGATAGTTTTTCTTATAAGAGGTGGATTTTTGTGTTGCCATAACAATTTCTTCTGGTTTCTGATAACTCAATATACAAAAATGCAATGATGATGAATAAAGAAAAGATTCTCACCCTCAATTGTCTTCAAAATTCTTGCCATACATTACAGTATTACATCAACATGGATTTCTCAGTGATGCAAAAAAGATGTAAATACTGGATATAAATCCTCAGCAGTTGTAGACCTCAAATGGCTCAGATTCAACATTAATTTATTGTACTTTATTTATGGAACAATCAATAATGTCAAGCAACTGAAATTATTGTCAGCTACACTCATTTTTTTTTTACCAACATGCTTAAAATCAAGTCCAATCAGAGAAAAGTAATGGGGCATTTTTCACTGTATGCCTCAGAATACACAAAGAGCCAGGCTTTACTTATCACTAATAACATAAGCTCACAGCAGAAGCTTCTCACACAAATCAACAAAGAGGCGGATGTGCCCAATTTCCTGCATTAAATAATCATGTAAGACAGCTTTCCATGGATCAACAGCCATCAGCTCCACTTTTCCCAAGAGATATTCTCACAAGTGAAAGCCCAAATATAAGAAAGAAATGAAACTCAGGTTCAAACCAAGTATGTTCAAAAAAATAATATACTTGAAATTATTGAGCATCACAAGCATTTTCCTGGTTTATTATTATAATTCCCCACAAATCACCTCAGAGTTGCCATCAGCAGTGACATTCCAAACCCAAGACATCAGCAACTGGACACTCATCCCAGGCTGCAAAGATTCTTATATATTGTCAGCATTTTTTGACAACCGAGTGGCACTTGAAAAGAATGTGACAGTGATTGGCGAAGTGCCCTGGGTGAATGATATAACGTCCACCGTCTTCTACTGTGTCCTGAGGAGTCATGACGGCGGCGTCGCTGTTGTTCGCGCACAGGTGTCGCTCCTGTGGGAGCATGTGAGGAAACACAGGCATCAACATTTCGGGGTCTTCTTCAAGTGCAAATGGGATTCTGAATCGGTGTCATCTGTTGCTGTGGTGGCGAATCATTCAAATGTACGTTCTTATTTTTTCTCAAAAAGTTATTTCTGTGAACCTTCAGTTTATTGAGTAAGGGGATGATCAGGATTATATAGAATATACAGGTGGACTCACTCAACAACATAAACATTTGAGGGACCAGTAAAAGTCATTTTAGAGAGAATTTGATTGTAGACAATCCATAAAACATGGGTGAAGAACCCTCTGAACCAAACAAATATGTGTTATCCATGAACAAAATTTTACACAATAGAAAGTGTCTCACCTGTATAAACCAGGAAGTTTTAAACCCAGAATCACTCAATTCACATAATAATGTGAATGTCTTTCTATAAAAGCCAACAGATTTCATCAAAATAAGCAAACATGACTTCAGTCACCCAGAAGCTGGAGCATCCTTCTGCATCAGACAACTGACCAGAAACTATTCAGATGTGGTCCAACTGGTGGAATTCATTGAACTCCATGCCTATTGGGGGATCACACACTTTTACTTTTATGGAGTGTCACAGAGCCCACAAGTGGACTGCATTTTGAGACACTATTATGCCAACCTGAGTTATCCTATAGTGAAGTTTTTCCAGTTGGGATGGAGAGACATGGCAGAGGCTTACATGTTGGACTGTTGGATGAGGAGTTGGGTGGAAGGGATGCAGTTCACTCTCAATGGTGACCTGGATGAGCTGTTTGTCCCTGCACACAGACATGGTCCACAAGCACTCATGTACATATTCAGTCAATTGGCAACCCAGGTAATCTTTCCACATGCAGAAGCATTTCAAACCAGAGGGCCTCAGGGGTTTTATTCAAGAGCTTTGAAATCCCCTGTCCATAAACAGTCCAACACTTCTTCTTATCCTCCCATCATTTCAAGTAGCTAAAATGAAAGAAGACAGCAGACCTTTCAAGAATTTTACTTGCAATACCTGCACATTTGTAAGCTTGCAGTTAGTCAAAAATGCAGCTAATATTCAAGAAAAATCAAATGTCTTGTTATTGACACATATTAGAAGTTCCTTGTGACAGTAATTCAAATGATTCCACTCATCAGAGTGTTTTTAGGATTCTGAATGAGGAACTCTGGTAAATGGAAAACCATTTAATTTAAACACTAACTGAATTTAATCACCTCTTGAAACTACATTCCTCATTTTCAGGATCAAGCTTTGTACAATAATCCCTCCCCAAAAACCCCAGAGGATTTTTTGATACAGGTGTACAGTTGCCCCCTGCACAACAGACATCCCATGCAAAAGATTTTTGCACAAGAAACTGCCTCTGGAGGCAGTTTTCCCTCCCATGCAATGAATAAATCCACATAACAGACTTTTATTGGTTCAGCTGTGAATTGTAAAAATTTTAATTTCCTAATGATGGACTTTGCATAACAGACTTTTCACACAACAGACTAGTCCGCTGTACAAATCAAGTCCATTGTACAGAGGGCAACTGTGCTCTCTACAATGAAATCCAAGGGATCATAAAAATCATTGTAGAGAGAATTTTGTTGCATGGAACCCTGATAACATCAGGATAGAACCTTCTATGGGACCAAACTTAAGTTTCTAACAGATATCCTCATTGAAGACACAATTGTTGCAGAGAGAGTCTGTTTCAAAATTTTTAAAAAATTTATCAACATTATTCTTGCAGGAAAAAGATGCTTCAGGATTCACACTTGAAAGATTTCAAGTGCCTCGCCAACTACCAGATGACCCAGCATCCATCTTGGACACCTTCCCATTGAGAACCATGAGAAAAACATTGTATATGAAGGATTATCCATTAGCTGGAAAAACATTAGTCTTTCCTGGTAGAGTCACTGGTCTCACAACTCATTGGATCCATGGATCACTTCCTGGGTATGAGGACTCTCCACTGGATGAGTTAGTGGCTTATGTGAACCATTACAGGCTAATGCAAAAGGAAGACTTCACAAGTCAACTTGTTTTGAATGCTACCAAAAAAAATATGAGAGAAAAGAATGTGAGGTTTTATAGTGACTATCTCCAAGAGAAAATTGAATCAATCATCAAAAACATCGGGGTTATATGTGACATAAGTTCCAGCCTCTGGAAAAATGACAAGCCTTGACGATAATAAAATGAAATCATCATTTGAAAACTTGAGTGTTTTTTTTTCTCATGCAAGTGCAGATTCTGCACATGACTTCTGTCCATTCATGAACTTTCCATAATTTAAAATTTGCAAGAAACTAATTTCGGCAACACATTGTCATTTTTCGCAACATCATCATAAAGGTTATGCAATGCCAAAATTTTTGATCTTCCTGTGGAAAAGTTTGATTCAAGAGGTGACATCTTCCATGATAAATTGTAAATAATGATGCTTGACAAAAATACAGTATTAATACTTTGATGGAATGCAAAAAGCGAGCCTGATCAGTCAAATATTTCAACATCCAATCTAAAAAATTTCCAAATAAATACATCAGATTTCAGACCTTTATAAGAGAAATCGAGAGCATTCATTTCGAATGAATACAAAACGCACAAGTCACGAATGTACACGCAAAATTTTTCCAGCAATCGGATCAATCAAATCGGTGGTAACATTCATCTTCTGCGACAAACCCCTAGCATGTGTCGTATTTCACTTTCCCATTGGATAGATGTCGTCTTCTTCACGGCGTCAACTCCCGGATTCAAGCGACACCTGCCCAGAGTTTACAGAAGCACGGGTGTCGGAAACTACATCACAGGTGATGCCGAAAACGATTCATCGCAGTCGACGACACACAGAAGCTCGGCCAAGTCACGGAATCCATTGCATAGAGCGACATCTGCCGCACTCGACTCATCCCACGAGACTAGCCTCAAATCCGCACCCAACTCCATGAGGGCCATGCACATCATCGAATCGCCCTTAGCTGCGCACAAGTGCAACGCACTCCGTCCACTCAATCCATCCACTTCGTCCACGTCCGCACCCAACGAGACGAGACGCGCGACTGAATCGGTGAAGCCGCCAATGGCCGCCAGGTGCAGCGGAGTCAAGCCGTCGTCATTCCGCTCTGTGATCAGCGCCGCGCCCGCCGACGATGATAAACATGGCGGCGCGCGTGTGGAACACAGTCGCGACTCTTCGTCCGACACGGGAGTGGTGAGGCAGTCCAAGGACGTCCGTTCGCCCAGCGCACAGGCGAGGTGTAGAGGAGTGTTGCCGCGGCGATCGCGGGCACCGACCAGCGCCCCAGCGATTACTAGGCGGCGGACGGCCCAGGGTTGCTTGCGGAGAACGGCAACGTGTAAAGGGGATCTTCGATGCTTGTTCAAGATGCTCAGGTATTTCCCGTTTGGGGCGAGATTCACCAGGCTGTAGACAGTCTCCAAGTCACCCTGAAAGAGGGACACACCAAGAAAGACAATGCTACATTAATAATGTACTGTACTCCGGATAATGAACTTGAGAATTTTATATTTTTGATCAATCCTTGCTTCAGATAACAGACCACAATTTGGAAAAATTACTGTCTTTGATTAAAATTATAATTCCTGGAGGGGGTGGCTTTTCTGTTGCCATTTTCAGTCATCAATTCAAGAATTAATCAGAGAAGTGTACACTTGATCAAATTATGAGTTCTTCATAAATCTCATTCCAGTCTCTTCTGATTTTTTCACCTGTTCATCGTTCATCATCACAGTACAAGTTAATTCAAGCAAAACTTTTGAATCAGAGAAATAGTGATGCATATAATGAATGAACAACTGATCAGGAGTTACATTAGCAGCATAATCAATAGTTGATCAAAAAAATTCTTGTTATGTAAATGTTAAGTGTAAATTACCTTCAAACATTATTCAGCCTCTTAAGAAAAAATTGGAATGTTCAGAACTTGACTGAAATGTGATCCAACAAAACACTTCTTCATAGATTGAATAATAATTTATTCAATTTCTTTTTCTGTCACCAATGCAGAACTGGAAACTTATTGTAAAGATTTGTAACTGCTTCTCACTGACTCAGTCTTGACTCTGGCCTCTTGTGTTCACATAGCAAACCTTAAGAATTGATAAATTCTGCTAGTGGCCCAAAAGATGGATTTTACCATAAAATCTGCAGAAATATCAATTCTAGATTTGAGATATTTCAGTTGAGAACCTTGAAATACCCCAATAATACTCATGAAACAACCTTCAAGCATAAAATGCAATATCAAACTTTGAAAACTCACCTTTCTTATTGCATCATGAAGAGCAGAGTCCCCAGATTCATCCAGTCCAAACGCCTCTTCCAACAATTCTTGATCAATTATTGAATCTGAACACTTTCCATGCACACTTTCAGGTATGAGACCAGACAAGAACCCAGAATCTTGTCCATTCGATTCCATACGTTTCAATGATTTATGCATTTCAAACGCGAACATGGCTTGACAATAAAACACTGCAGCCTGTAAATAAATCAAAAAGTAATCTATCAAAAAACTCAATTGTATCATATTTGGTTTCTCATCAACAGGATGGCAAACAATTACAGAATGGTTTGTTGTGTTCAAAATGCAGAAAAATAGCATCACTTGTTCTTTCATGTTAACACATACTGTTTTATCCCACACATTTTCTGCATTTGAACATGGTTGTCAGAACTGGGACAGAGTCACAAAGGAGATGCAGCATTTGAAATAATCTGCAGCACTTGGACCAAATGCAAGTTCATCTGAAGCAACACACATCTAAAATGATGAAACAGACATATGTTTCACACAATACTTCATGATTTCACATGATGTCATTGGTGACATCTAATGGGAAAATGATCCACAGCACATGAAGAAAAAATCCATTTATCCATAATAAATAATCCATATCCAAGGCTCCAAGACAGATTTACTAACAAAAATATAATAAACCAAAAAACTATCAAAAATATTCTTCAACAGTAGTCATTTGCATCCTAAATGTAGAACACATCAGCCATTTCATATGCCTCTATAGTCATGAATTTGATGGTATGTTTCTTGATCTTGGAAAAATGGAATCAATTTCACATGACTCTCTTATTTAACACACTTTTTGGATACCAAAATTAAACCATGTCAAGTCTGTTAACCGAGACATGATAATTTTTTCAATCTTCTCAATATGAGAAGGTTCTGAATTTCATGGGGCATTTCCCATGGTCTCAAGATACCAAATTGATGGGTTTTTTAAAAAACGGGATCAATTTCACCAGATTCGCTTAACATACTCTTTGGATACCACACTAGAACATTATCAAGTCCGTTAACCGGGACATCATAATTTTTCCACTTCGCATAACACGAAAAGCTTTCGAAATTCATGGGATAAACGCAGGAATGTACATCAACACTTGGTTGCAAAAAATGAACCCTAGCATTTAAAATAATTTTCCATGCGAAATATTTGCACAAAAAATCTAAAAATGGCGCCTTGGGTTCACTTATCGTGAACAAGAAAAATAATCATCACATGCTGAAGACACACGCAACACTGGCGCATCAAGTCCGAGCGCGATGCCCTGTATTACAAAACACACTCCCCTCAGAATCTGGAATCCCGAACCCGACGGGATTCCCCCCCTTGGGGCAAGACACCGCAAAAATCCCCACGCAGAAAAAAAATGAACAGAATTCGAAACGGTATTCCCAGACTCTCGTCAAGGACTGTTTAAGCGTTACGTACGACGAATAGAAAATGCTTTTCCACGCATTAATTTTTCACATACCCCGGAAATTCCAGAACATTTTCAATACTGCATGAACTGCTTGCTTCGGTTGGGCGAGATTTCGAAATACCCAATCGAGACGCTTCGTTCTTTTCTTTTTAGACACGGTATTTTTGTTTCACCCGTTGGGGAAAACCCGTCTCGGGGAATCTCACCCATAATCTGACCCGAGTCCGTGAAAAAATAAAAGGTTGCGATAAATTATGGGGTTCGGGATCACAGAGAGAGAATCACATGAGGATGGAAGATGTAATTTATCCACGTCGAAAAAAATTCCAGTATTTCCTATAACCCTCTCCAGAGAAAAGCAAGCGTTGAAAAGAGAACAGAAGACCTTGTTTCTGCTCAAGAAATGAAGGTCAATGTGATCATCCGAAGCAAAATTCAAAGACACTCGGAATCAACTGAAAAACAATCATTCCCGAGTTTAAACGAAAGCTTCCTTTCAATGAGCAACGTTGAACCACGATTCCGAAGGTTCCACTCTTTTGCACTCACTCACCCAAATCAATCACTTGGTTGACCCAAGCTTGAAACCCATGGGTCCTTTACCCAATCCTTACTTGGAGGCGTTCGGGAAAGGTCGTGGAACTTTTATTGTTTTCCAACTCTCTTTTCTTCCCCACTTCGGGTTTTTCCCGGCTTCGCACTGTGTATGCACAGTCACGGCTGAGATACGTTCTGGCGTTCGGGGATTTACGGAGACACCGAACGGCATGAATACGTTACAGTACTTTTCTTCAAGGATATCGGAAAAGCTATCCATCCGTTATCTGACACTTTTTGAAAGGGAATTTGCTCGCAGAATAGAGTGCGTCATTAGATAGCAGAAGGTAAGAGGTGGAAAAACACCCACGAAATTTCGTTCATCTTCTACGAAAACGCCTACACTCGATCAACTTTTTCAGGCTATGAAGGATTTTCGTACGAAAACCCAACCAAGACTGATTGTTTCGAAGTGCGCGTCCCTTTGGAAATAAACGTTTGTTCCGGTCTTCCTTCAACAGAATGATATACTTGAAAAAAAGTTTTACAAGATCGACTTCGTCGAGTCATTCAACATAATTGGTCTCTCATTCTCAATGGCCTAGCAAAATAAACACACAAAAAAGCTTTCGGTTGGAATATGACTTTTCAGAGAACGCTCGCTCTACACAGGAATGAAAGCCTCAAAAATTCAGGAATAACTGGGAAATGACACTCTCCGAGCATCGGACTGAAGATTCTTCAACTTCGTTTCGAAGTCCATACTCTCAGTTTTCACAGATACCAAGTCAGAGATTGAAATCACATTCATCTTCACGCGAAACGCATCATCGCTTCGTCAAGATGGTCTTCGTCATCGGATTCCCTCCATGCATATCAATTGTATCAAAACCCAAAAATACGTACGTAATCTCAACATAATCGTTCCACAGAGAAAAAATCCCGACGTAAGTGGGGGGGGGGGGGGGGGGGGAAACCTCCTTCCAATCACAAAATTTACATTACACCCCTTTCACGCTGATAATTACAATTCAGGTTTCACGAGGGAACCCGCGGGTTCCCGAACCTGCCAAAATTTTCTCCCATTCCCGATTCTTCCGGACAACATACCTTGACCTGCGCGACATCTACACATCATTTCATAAACATGTCCCTCCGCTTACTCGACGTTCGCACGCTAGGTTTAGCGCCTAACTCGCCACTTAACAAGTAGGAAGGACGACGACGAGGCATGGGAATATTTCGTGGGAGGCATTTCCATCACGTTAAGAGCACTTAAATACGAGGGCCATAAGTTTCCACCGCAAATATGCGTCGTCCCGTATGTGTCGGAATGTGAAAAAGTTCATGCTTTTTTTCCCCCCCTTCTGCTGGCGGAAGATGGAGACTGGAGAGAAATGTTTCTGAACAAAAAGGAGTCCAGCGAGCGGGAGGAGAAACTATACTAATCGTCAGACCGGAATCGCTCCTTGCGGGAGAAGAGAGAATAAAATAAATGGAATATACTTGAAAGAAAAAAAATTGGGGGGAGGAGGAGGAGGAGGGGAAAAGCAAATTTTTGTTTCTACCAAAACCGCAAGTACCCGGGCTCCAAATAATTTCCCCCGGGGATCCAGAAACGACTTGTTTTCTTGGCACAAGTCACGCAGTCCTCCGTGCCACCGGTTTCAACCCCCCCCCCTAACATTCAGAAACAGGAAAAAAAAAAGAAAGAAAGAAACGGGGGGAGGGGGAGGCACTTCTTTTTCCCGCGCGCGGCGCGTGTGACTGCTGGGAGGGCGGGGCTTATAGGGACTTACCCAACGAGCAGTCTCCGCCTCTCCCGGCCTCAGGCGCCGCCCCTCCCGCGACCAGCATCAAGATAAAAACACCGGGCCCCGCCTATTTTTGCTGCTCCTTGACACCCCGCCTCCACGCGCAACTCCACAGGGCGCAGTTTTCGCCAGTAAAATCCTTCAGTCTCCCAGACACTTGTATTGACAAAACACTTGTGTGCCTTGGTGAAGGTGTTTTGGGCTTATTGTGGTGCCCAGGGCTTGTGGGATAGTCAACATCAACACTGCTGGGCTGGTGTTTTCATAATAATCTCCACCCAGGGCTGGTTTCCACTCCCCCCCCCCAAACCAACTCATACTGTAATCATAACAACCCCCACAAGCACATCATTAGTGCTGTGGTACAATACCAAATAGGTGAAACCCCCCCCCCTTTTTTTTTACTGTGGGTGGTGCCAGGAAAAAAATGGCTAATAAGCCCTCAGGGCACCCTGGGAGGTTTAGCATTCCTCTGAAGACTTTCAGGGACTGAACCCATGTCCTAATTTGATTATACTCCCTGTAATCCAGACCCAGTGATTTTTTTTTTCTTGATAAATAATTTTTACAAAGAAGTGGAACCCAGTTGGATTCATGGAAGGGGGAAGCAGTGACTTTTGTGGGGAACCCAGTCTGCAGAACTCTTTGTCCACCTGCAGTCCTGCAGAAGTTGGGAACTACAACCTGGGTAAGATGTCTGCCTTTTCTTTTCCAATTTTTGTGGCCCAGTAAAAAAAAAAAGTGTGTAATGTGCTGCATCTGCATTTTACCCAACCCAATAAGTCAGAGAGGAGAGAAAAAGGGGGCACTTCTACTTGAAACAACAGAACACCAACCAGTTGCAACACATGGTTTCTTTCAATTGTGTTTCACAGCCCACTTCTCATAAAAAGGGTGGGAGGGGATTGTATTGGAAGTGGGTGGGGGGGGGGGGGGGGGATAAGGGATGAAACACAGTTGTTTCAAGTTCTCAGAATGAGAGAAGGGGGGTGTGTCTGGTTTTAATGCACTGAACCCATCAACTGCCACAAGTGTGGGTTTTCCCTTAATTTTCATCCTATTCCTTTTCCTCAACTGGGTGTTTTTTGTTGTTGTTGTTGAAATTCTGCAGAGGAAATTCTCTTTTTAATTTATAAATTTACCCTTTTTGTGAAATTTCCTGATGCAGTGGCACATGAAAAAGTGAGAATTTAATGATGGCTCTCATTTGATTTATAAATGAAAAAAAATTATTATTTTGACTCATATGTGAATTATATATTTCATGAGCAAAATGAAAACAATTATGCTGATTTCTCTGTTAATTTTTCAGAAAACCAAGGGAATAAAGGACCGTTTTCGAATTTGTCAAATGAATTTATCAGCAAAATTTCAGGAACTTCTCCGAAGAATGGGGGATTTTTCTTGAAATTTCAATTTCGCGAGTTTTGTGAAAAGTAAAAACGAAAACTTGTTACAAAATTCGCACATATTATGTTTTCGCGAAGTAATTTGAGCAATAATTTTTGGCACTGTTCTCAATTTTATTGATACTTTTTCACGA